CGACTGCGTCTTCCCCATCACTCCCGACAAGTACAGGCGCGAGTGGAACCGCTCCCTCGTCAGGCTCGGGCTCGAGGAGTTCGGGCCCCCGCATGGCCTCAGGCATGCGGGAGCCGCACATTTTGTGGCGGCAGGGGGAGACCTCGAGGTGGCACGGAGAAGGGGGCGCTGGAACACCGCCAGCGCCCTCCAGAGGTATACCAAGTCGTTCATCCTCATTGCGAGGCGCAGCATCATGACTGACGCCAAGCTACGAGACGGCGAGGAGTTCTGGCGGGCCCCAGGCGTGTTCATGGCACAGGCGCTGGGGAAGTCCAGGGTGGCGGACAAGCCACTCACTGCTCGTCTGATAAGGATGCTGAAGGGGCTGCCGCAGGGTGCCTCGCTGCCGCTCGGCTCCTCAGAGGTGCCGCGCCCAGAGGTGGCGAGGCCCAGGTCGGGCCTCAAGGCGCAAATTAGAAGGCGCAGCACGTAGCCTCTTTTCTCCAATTAACATGAAGAATGATGTATTTTCGGGGATCCCAAATGATGTGCCTAAGCTGGGGGGGTCAGGACTAGTCACCTACTCCTTCGCCCCTCCCTCCCGCCCTCCCTGGTGTGCTACGTCCTGCGCTGTGCAATCTAGATAGGGCCTGCGGCCAGAAGGGGCTGGTTGGCCTGTGTGGGGTCTTCCGCACGTGATCTGTTTTTGTTGGCCTCGAGGGCCCCTTGGAGTGCCAGGTCAGGTACCGACTTTCTGGGGCCCTCGGGGCCCGCCTGCAGGTCCCGAGCGGGATCGATCGAACAAATGTTGGGGGCTGGACGCCCCACGCTCGCCCGTGTCTGGTTTCTCCTCGTGTCCCGCTGCTGGGTCGGATATTCGCTGTATTCCTTTGATTGACGCCTGACGGCGCCGTGGGAGCCGCCTGCCCCCCTTCAGCTCTGGCACGTGGGATCCTAGGACAGCATAGTTTAAATAAATGTTATTATAACGCTCTTTTATACTGCTTGTTCCCCTCCCCTCGTGCCGTCCTCTTCTGTGTCTTCTCTCGGCTTTGCCGTCCTCAAGATTTCGGCCCCGCCCTCCCTCCTCTCGAGGGGAGGGGTCTTCCGCACGTGATCTGTTTTTGTTGGCCTCGAGGGCCCCTTGGAGTGCCAGGTCAGGTACCGACTTTCTGGGGCCCTCGGGGCCCGCCTGCAGGTCCCGAGCGGGATCGATCGAACAAATGTTGGGGGCTGGACGCCCCACGCTCGCCCGTGTCTGGTTTCTCCTCGTGTCCCGCTGCTGGGTCGGATATTCGCTGTATTCCTTTGATGCCTGACGGCGCCGTGGGAGCCGCCTGCCCCCCTTCAGCTCTGGCACGTGGGATCCTAGGACAGCATAGTTTAAACGAGGCAGTTTTGAAGCCCCGTGGGACCTCTTGGGGACATCTTTTGGGCTCCTGGGAGCCTCTTGGGCCTCTCTGGGCCCGTCTATCGCACCCCTTGGGCTGTCTTGGGGCCCCCTAGGGCCTTCTTGGGCGGTCCTCGGGCCGTCTTGGAGCCGTCTTGGGCCGCTCTTCGGGCCATCTTGGGGTCCCGTTGGCCTATCTTGGGCGCCTCTGGGGCCGTCCTGGGGCCGCCTTGGACCGTCTTGGGGCCCTCTTATACCGTCTTGGGGTCCTCTTGGGAACCTATTCGACCGTCTTGGAGCGGTCTTGGATGCCTCTGGGGGGGTTTCAGAGCGTCGGGAAGCCGAAAAAGCGAGGAAGCAAAACACCACGCAAAAACACATGAAAACCAACGATTTTGGCCTCTCGGGGCTCTCTTGGGAGGCCTCTTGGGAGGCCTATTGGGCCGTCTTGGGGAGCTCTTGGGCCAATCTTGGGCATCTTGGCCGGATCATTGCGCGTCTCGGGGCCCTCTTGGGCCGCATTCGGGGCATCTTGAGCGGCTCGGAGCCGTCTCTGGGCCGTCGGGGCGGCCTCCGGAGCGTCTCGGAGGTGTCCTGGGGCCGCCGGGGCGCCGAGAGCCCCCAGGCTCTTCCCGACCCTTCCCGCACGCACGTGCTCCTGCAATGTAGTAGCGACTACGTAGTGACGAACCTGTGGATGAAATCCACAGTGTGCTGAACCTGGGACTCGCACACCGTGGGTGAACAACTCGTCGAAGTGGAACAGCGCGAGCGTCCCTGGCGCCGTGTCGGGGGCGTGTTGGGCCCTCCTGTGAGCCTTTCTGGGTCGGCTTGAAGGCCTCTTGCGGTTTTTGGGCGCCTCTGGGGCCGTTCCCAGCCTGTCCCCCAGAGCCTCCTTTTGGGGGCACCCAGGAAAACTTGTTGTGCGTGCGTGCTGTGTGGTTGCTGTCAGAAACCTCCCGTGAGCGGACGTAGGGGTCCCCCGACGGATGGTTTGGGGCTTCCGGGAAGCCGTCTCGGGGCGACGCGGGTGTCGTGGAGCCGTCGGCGAGTGCCCAGGGGCCTTCTGGGGCCGTCGGAGGGCGTGCTGGAAGCTCTCTGAGAGGCCGTCTTGGGCCGAGCTGGGGGCGAGGGAGCCCTGGGCGAGCGGCCCAGGGGCCTTCTGGAGGTGCCAGGGGCTCAGTGTGGGGTACGGGGCTCGGTGTGGGGCTTCCGGGGAGCCGTCTGGGGGCGACGCGGGTGTCGTGGAGCCGTCGGCGTGCCGCCCAGGGACCTTCTGGGGCCGTCGGGGGGCGTGCTGCAGAGGCCGTACTGGGCCGAGCTTGGGGCGAGGGAGCCGCGGACGAGCGGCCCAGGGGCCTTCTGGAGGTGTCGGGGGCTCGGTGTGGTGTACGGGGCTCGGTTCGGGGCTTGCGGGGAGCCGTCTTCGGGCGATAAGGGGGTCGCGGCTCTCTGGGAGGCCGTCTCGGGCCGAGCTGGGGGCGAGGGAACCCCTTCGGCGAGCGGCCCATGGGTCGGGGGCTCGGTGTGGGATACACGGCTCTTGGGCTGTCTAATTACGGCCTTCTTGGGCCGTCTGGGGGTCCTCCTGGGGCCCCCTGGACCGTGCAGGGGCGATCTGGGAAGCCCCTAGGGCCATCCTGGGCCGTTGTAGGCCCGAAGTGGCGGGAACAGGAAAACCATCGAAACCTCCGGAAAACGCACACGTACTGCCACGCCATCCACGCGGTCCTCGGGGGCCGTCTCTGAAACCTTCTTGGGCAGTCATATGGCTCCGGTCGGGTCGGCTTCGGCGTCTGTGAGGCCGCTTTGGGGGGATCTGGGGGTCCCGGAGCCGTCGGCGAACGCTGCAGGGGCCTCCTGAGGCCGTCGAGGAGCGCCCTGGAGGCTCTCCGGGCGGCTCGCGGCTGTGGGCGGCCCGGGGCGCTGCCACTGCTTCTCGTACTCGCACGCGCTTCGCCCGGAATTGCAATACAGATGACGTTGGGCTCCAGCTTCGCTTGGGGCCTGTTGGGGACCGCTAGGAAGCATCTTGAGGCCTCCGTTGGGCCTCTTGAGGGCATCTTTGGGCCGTCTTGGACGCCTCTTGGGCCGTCTTGAGCCATTTAAGGTGTTCTTGGCAAGACGCTACACGAGATTACGCCGCGTGGGTGGACATGACAGAAGACTTCCTGGACGTCTGCCTGTGAGCAGGCTCTGTGCTTCCCGTGCGCGCCCGCCTGAACAGTGACTGTCATGCTGCTTTTCCCTCGCGCCCCATAGGGGCCCGCCCTCGTGCGAGCGGGGTGACTTGACTTGACTCGAAGTGTTCTTGCGCGCCTCTGGGACTGCTTCGAGCCCGTCTTGGGCCGCTCTTCGGGCCCTCTTGGGCCGTCCTGGGCGCCTCGTGGGCTGTTCCGGGGCCGCCTCGGACCGTTCATCGGGCCCCATTGGAGGCCCTCTTGGGGCGTCTTAGGGCGACCTTGGGGGACACGAGGACAGCGAATCTGTGAAAATGGTGCGCTTCCCCGAACGATTGGGATGATTTTCGCTTCTGGGAGCCCTCTTGGACGTCTCCAGAAAGGGCTTGGAGGCCTCCTTTGGGCCTCTTGGGGGCCGCTTGGGCCGTCTGAAGCCATTTTAGGCTGTTTTTGGGCGCCTCTAGGGCTGTCTCGGGCTCGTCTTGGGCTGCTCTTCGAACTCTGTTGGGCTGTCCTGGGCGCCTCTTGAGCTATCATGGGGCCGCCTTGGACCGTTCTGGGGGCTCCCTGGAGGCCCTCTTGTGAACACGAGGAAAGCGAATATGTGGCAAGTGTGCGCTTTCCGGAAGGATTGGGACAATCCTTGCTTCTGGGAGCCCTCTTGGACGTCGCTCGGAAGGGTTTGGAGGCCTCCTTTGGGCCTCTTGGGGGCCTCTTGGGGCCGTCTTGGGCGCCTTTCTGGCCGTCTTAAGCTGTTTAGGCTGTTTTGGGGCGCCTCTAGGGCTGTCTCGGGCTCGTCTTGGGCTGCTCTTCGAACCCTTTTGCGCTGTCCTGGGCGCCTCTTGTGCTGTCGCGGGGCCGCCTTGGACCGTCCTGGGGTCCCCGGGAGGCCCTCATAGGACGTCCTCGGGCGATTTGGGGAGCATGTATGGCTGTCGTGGGCTGCGCGAACACGGGGAAATATATGAAATTTGTGCGTTGTCCCTGGTACTTGGGACGACTTTTGTTTCTGGGAGCCCTCTTGGACGTCTCTTGGAGGGGCTTGGAGTCCCCTTGGGCCGTCTGGAAGCACGCACGTCTGCACGTCCTGAAACTGTTTCGAGACATTTGGAGCGCACCTCGGTGCTCCCTGGAGGCGGTCTGACGCGCGCTGGAGCCGCCCGGAGGCGCGCCGGAGGCGCGCCAGGGCGCGCCCGGGGCGTGCCAGAGCCCTCGGGGGTCTTCTGACCCGGGTCAATCCAGACCCGGGTCAGTCAGGCCTGCAAGATCCTGCACCCAAACCCGGGTCAATGCGAAGGATCTTGCAGGATCCTGCAGGATCCTGCACCCAAACCCGGGTCAATGCGACCCTGGCGCTGCAGGATCCTGCAAGATCGGCGCTCTGGCTGACCCCCGTCTGCACTGACCCCCGTCCCGAGGCTCCCGAAGCCCCGCCGAGCGGCACGCGCCGGCGCCGGCCAAATAGGAAAGATGTCGCTGGGCTCCAGTCGCACCTCCCACATGTCACTCAGCAGCGCCAGCGCCGGCTGCCAGTGCCCGCCCTTCTCGCACGCGCTGATCCCAGCGCTGTAGCTGACTAGGGCAGACCTGTGGACTCCGTCCACGACATCAGCTCGACGTGGCGAGGGGTCTCTGGGCAAGCGCGGGGGGGTGCGGCTGCAGGGCCGAAAGGCAATCATGATGGCGTCGGGCTCCAGCTTGGCTTTCCATTAGGGCTTCGTGGGGGCCGTTTGGGGATCTCTTGGGGCGTTTTTGCCTGCGATATGCCTGTCGCCTCTCGTCCGCTCCCCCGCTCCTGGAGGGAATTCTGAAGGCACTGAAGGCTTCGTGGGGGCCGTTTCGGAGCCTCTTCGGCCTTCGTTTGGGCCTCCCGGGGGGGCTCTTAGGGCCCTCTCGGGCCGTCTTGGGTGCCTCTTGGGCCGTCTTGGGGCCGTCTGAAACCCGCCTCGGCGCCTCTTGGGCTGTCTTGGGCCGTCTTGGGCCGCTCCTGGGGCCGTCTTGGGTGCCTCTTCGGCCGTCTTGGGCGCCTCCTGGGCCGTCCTGGGGCCGTCCTGGGGCGTCTTGGGACCGTCTGGGGGCCCTCCTGGCCCGTCTTGGGGCTCTCTTGGGGTCCTCTTCGGCCGTCTTGGAGCGGTCGGGGGGGCTTCTTGGGCCGTCTTGGAGCGTCGGGAAGCCGACGAGGCGAGGAGGCCGAAAACATCGAAAAACACAGTAGAAATCGACGATTTCTGTCGCTCGGGGCCCTCTTGGGAGGCCTCTTGGGAGGCCTCTTCGGGCGTCTTGGACGCCTCTTGGGCCGCCTGGGGCGAATCTCGGGCGTCTTGGGCCCATCTTTAAGCGTGCCGGGGCTCTCCGGGGCCGTCTTGGGGGCTTCTGGGGGCCCTCTCGACGTGTCCTGGAGCCTGCCTGGGCGGCCCGGGGCGGCCCAGGGCCAGCCCGGGGCGGTTTTGGTGCATTGGGGCCTGCGCCCTTCTGGCACGCACTGGGCCCTGCAATGTAGTAGAGACTAGGGCTGACCCGTGGACTCCGTCCACGACATCTTTCTGGAATGGTTCTCGGAGGAACGGCGCAGATTGTACCGAAAATCTACAAACACAGCGGCGGCTCGGGCGGCGGCAGCGAGACCGCGCCTTCGTGTCCGAGCTCTTGCAGCGCTGCAGCAGCTTGGCCCAGCGCACTGCTCGATCACCCCCCTCCTATTGAGGACAGTTTCGAAGTCTCTCGGGGATGTGCGTCGAAGTCGAAGCCCATCTGAGGCGTCTCAGGAGCGCTCGGGGAAGGGCTCGGGAGGCCATCGGGGAAAGCCACCGAAAGCGCCGGGGAGGCTCGCAAGGATCTACAGGGAGGGCCCAAGAGAGCTTCAAGAAAATTTGAAATCCAGTGAACTCTTAAGAGAAACCGCTGTTGGGTCGGCCATCACCTCCGGGCGCGCCTTGATGGTGCGATCCAGTCGCATCACCGCCAACGGGAGGGTTTGTTCGCCATGTCCCATTATGTTCGCCCAGAGGGTCTGTGGAGGCCTTCGGGCGAACAGAACGGGACAGGGCAAGGAATGGGGAAGACATGTCCGAATCTCCTGGGCCCCCCAGATGCTCGTCCGAAGAATGCGGAGAGGTCCCAGGGTCATATCAATTGGCTGCTGTCCCAGGGGTCCGGTCTGCTTGGCCCGAAGAGTTTGCCAAGGCCCCTGGGGGAACAGAATGGCACAGCATATCGGGCAAAGGGGGGCGGTAGCTGGCCTGTCAGACCCGGCGTTCGTCTTCTGCCCAAGCGGCGCGGGGCCCACGGGCCCCAGGGTTGGCGTCCCGCTGGGATTCCTCTTGTTCGCCCACAGGGTTGGAGGAGGCCTCCAGGCGAACAGAATGGGGCAGGACAATGAATGTGGGAGACTTGTCGCAAGCTCCCAGCCCCCCCAAGTGTGCGCCCGAAGGGTGTGGGGCCGCGTTGGCTCCCTCAAAGGGCCGTCTTGGAGCCGTCTAGGCCCGTCTTGAGGGCGCCGTTTGCCCTGATGGGGCCGTCTTGGTTCGTCGTGGGCCCCTCATGGGCGCGTCCGTAGGCCGTCCTGGGCCCATCGGGGTCCTCGTGGGGCTGTCTTGGAGCCGTCTGGGACCGTGAGGAGGCCGCCTTGGAGTCGTCTTGGGCCCCTCCTGTGCGCCTCCTTGGGCCGTCCTGGGCCCAGCAGGGGCCGTGTTGGCACCCTCTTGGGGCTGTCTTGGAGCCGTCTTGAGCCGTCGCAGCGCGCCTTGGGTTGTGCTGGGTCCGTCTTGGCCCGTCTTGGGGCCTTCCTGGGCGGTTCCTCGGACCCTCCTGGGACTTTCTGGGGCCTCTTGGTGCATCGGACCGCCGAAACGGCGGGAAACGCAAAGGGTGTAACAGTAAACAATGGAAAATTAACGATTTTTGCCAGCTGGGACTCTCTTGCCATCTTGGCCCGTCTTGAGGCCCCGAACGGGCGCGTCCTTGGGCCGTCCTGGGCGCACCCTCCTGGGACCGTCTTGGAATCGTCTTGGGCCGTCTTGAGCGCGCCTTGGGCCGTCCTGGGCCGGTCTGGGGCCGTGTTGGCACCCTCGCGGCGAGGAAGCTCGGAGGCGGGCTCGAGGCCTCTTCGGGGCCATTTTGGAAGCTGTTGGGGCCTCTGTAGGGGCCTCGTTTGGGCTCCTTGGGAGCCTCCTGGGGCCTCTTCGGGGGATTCTTGGCGGCCCCTTGGGGCCTCTTGGGGGCCTGTTTGGGCCTCCTGGCGCCCTCTTGGGGCGGAAGGCTCGGATTTTCGGTCCGTGGTCCCCCTCTTGGCCCCCTCTTGGGCCTGTCTTCGGGCCCTCGTGGGCCGTCTTGAGCGTCTCTTGGGTCGTCTTGGGGCCCTCTTGGGCTGTCTTGGGGCGCTCTTGGAAACCTCTTGGGCCGTTCTGGGGCGCTCTTGGAGGCCTCTTGGGCCGTCTTCGAGCGTCGGAAAGCGGAAAAGGCGAGAAGGCCAAAATCCTTCCAAAACCGTCGTAAAGCGGACGATTTTGAGGCCCAAAACCGTCCAAAACCTCCTGAGGCGGTCCCCTCGTCCGCCCCCCTCGCTTCGAAGCAGTTTTTAAGCCCCGTGGCACCTCTTAGGGGATCTCTTTTGGGCTCCTGGGGGCCTCTTGGGCCTCCACTGGATTCGCTGCCCTCGGTCGGCAATCGTCGATCCTACGACGACTCTCCCCAACGGAGAAACATCGAAGGCCCTCGGAGCGTCCAACATTGTTCTTTTGTGCCTTCGATATGCCGGTCGCCTCTCGTCCGCTCCCCCCCTCCTGGAAGCAATTCTGAGGCCACTTAGGGCTTCGTGGGGGCCGTTTGGGGATCTCTTGGGGCGTTTTTGCCTGCGATATGCCTGTCGCCTCTCGTCCGCTCCCCCGCTCCTGGAGGGAATTCTGAAGGCACTGAAGGCTTCGTGGGGGCCGTTTCGGAGCCTCTTCGGCCTTCGTTTGGGCCTCCCGGGGGGGCTCTTAGGGCCCTCTCGGGCCGTCTTGGGTGCCTCTTGGGCCGTCTTGGGGCCGTCTGAGACCCGCCTCGGCGCCTCTTGGGCTGTCTTGGGCCGTCTTGGGCCGCTCCTGGGGCCGTCTTGGGTGCCTCTTGGGCCGTCTTGGGCGCCTCCTGGGCCGTCCTGGGGCCGTCCTGGGGCGTCTTGGGACCGTCTGGGGGCCCTCCTGGCCCGTCTTGGGGCTCTCTTGGGGTCCTCTTCGGCCGTCTTGGAGCGGTCGGGGGGGCTTCTTGGGCCGTCTTGGAGCGTCGGGAAGCCGACGAGGCGAGGAGGCCGAAAACATCGAAAAACACAGTAGAAATCGACGATTTCTGTCGCTCGGGGCCCTCTTGGGAGGCCTCTTGGAAGGCCTCTTCGGGCGTCTTGGACGCCTCTTGGGCCGCCTGGGGCGAATCTCGGGCGTCTTGGGCCCATCTTTAAGCGTGCCGGGGCTCTCCGGGGCCGTCTTGGGGGCTTCTGGGGGCCCTCTCGACATGTCCTGGGGCCTGCCTGGGCGGCCCGGGGCGGCCCGGGGCCAGCCCGGGGCGGTTTTGAGACATTTGAGCCTGCGCCCTTCTGGCACGCACGTGCTCCTGCAATGTGCCTCTGGGGGCTTCTTTTGAGCCTCCCGTGGGGGCTCTTAGGGCCCTCTTGGGCCGTCTTCGGTGCCTCTTGGGCCGTCTTGGGACCGTCTGAGTCCCGCCTGGGCGCCTCTGGGGCTGTCTTGGGCCGTCTTGGGCCGCTCCTGGGGCCGTCTTGGGCGCCTGTTGGGCCGTCTTGGGCGCCTCCTGGGCCGTCCTGGGGCCGTCTCGGGCCGCTCTTGGGACCGGCATGGGGCCCGCTTGGCCCGTCTTGGGCTCTATTGGGGGCCTCTTCGGCCGTCTTGGAGCGGTCTTGGGGACCTCTTGGGCCGTCTTGGAGCGTCGGGAGGCCGAAAAGGCGAGAAGGCCGAAACCATCGGAAAACACAATGGAAATCGACGTTTTTTGCTGATCGGGGCCCTCTTGGGAGGCCTCTTGGGAGGCCTCTGGGGGCGTCTTGGAGGCCTGTGGAGCCGTAGCTGACTAGGGCAGACCTGTGGACTCCGTCCACGACATCAGCTCGACGTGGCGAGGGGTCTCTGGCCACGATGGCCAGTTGAAGGCGCTCTCCACACCTTCCAGGACCTCCTGCTCTCCTGTGTTCCTCAGCTGCTGCTGCTGCTGCTGGGAGGTCCTGCTGCTTCCTCCCCCTCCTCCTCCTCCTCCTCCGCCTCCTCCTCCTCCTCCTCTTCCACCTTCTTCTCCTCTTTCGCTGGATTCTCCATGCCCTCGGTCGGCAATCGTCGATCCTACGACGACTCTCCCCAACAGAGAAACATCGAAGGCCCTCGGAGCGTCCAACATTGTTCTTTTGTGCCTTCGATATGCCGGTCGCCTCTCGTCCGCTCCCCCCCTCCTGGAAGCAATTCTGAGGCCACTTAGGGCTTCGTGGGGGCCGTTTGGGGATCTCTTGGGGCGTTTTTGCCTGCGATATGCCTGTCGCCTCTCGTCCGCTCCCCCGCTCCTGGAGGGAATTCTGAAGCCACTGAAGGCTTCGTGGGGGCCGTTTCGGAGCCTCTTCGGCCTTCTTTTGGGCCTCCCGGGGGGGCTCTTAGGGCCCTCTCGGGCCGTCTTGGGTGCCTCTTGGGCCGTCTTGGGGCCGTCTGAGGCCCGCCTCGGCGCCTCTTGGGCTGTCTTGGGCCGTCTTGGGCCGCTCCTGGGGCCGTCTTGGGTGCCTCTTGGGCCGTCTTGGGCGCCTCCTGGGCCGTCCTGGGGCCGTCCTGGGGCGTCTTGAGACCGTCTTGGGGCCCTCCTGGCCCGTCTTGGGGCTCTCTTGGGGTCCTCTTCGGCCGTCTTGGAGCGGTCGGGGGGACTTCTTGGGCCGTCTTGGAGCGTCGGGAAGCCGAAGAGGCGAGGAGGTCGAAAACATCGAAAAACACAGTAGAAATCGACGATTTCTGTCGCTCGGGGCCCTCTTGGGAGGCCTCTTGGGAGGCCTCTTCGGGCGTCTTGGACGCCTCTTGGGCCGTCTGGGGCGAATCTCGGGCGTCTTGGGCCCATCTTTAAGCGTGCCGGGGCTCTCCGGGGCCGTCTTGGGGGCTTCTGGGGGCCCTCTCGACATGTCCTGGAGCCTGCTTGGGCGGCCTGGGGCGGCCCGGGGCCAGCCCGGGGCGGTTTTGACTCATTGGAGCCTGCGCCCTTCTGGCACGCACTGGGCCCTGCAATGTAGTAGAGATGACGTTGGGCTCCAGCATCGTCTCCCGCATCTCGCTCAGCAGCGCAAGCGCCCGCTGCCACTGCTTGCCCTTTTCGCACGCGCTGATCCCAGCATTGTAGCTGACCAGGGCTGGCCCGCGGCCTTCCGGCCGCGGGGTCCGCCCGCCATGGTGTGGACGTGGAAATGGGGCGTCTCCGGGGCCTCGCGGGAGAGGGAAGCTGGAGGGGGCGGTCTGGATGGAGGTGGCCGCTGGAGGGGGGGAGGTGGGCGAGGGATGCAGCCAAGCACGCCTGAAGGCAGGAACGCGGTGGCGGAGGCGGTGCCCATGGAAGCACACTCATGTGGGCACGACATGGTGTGGACAGAAGCTGTTCCTCACGCCGCGCTCTGTGTTCACGACAGCTTCGGCGGGACGGGTCGCCGTGGTAATTGTATCTGCTTATGGCTGGGGCCGAATGATATCTTCATCTGGTAGCGTGGTGAAAATGGAGCAGGTGTTCGTTCGTCTGGAGTTTAGACAGCCTCAGAGGCCCGCAAAAGGCCGCCGAGACGGCCCGCACTGGGGCCGCTCAGGCGCCTGGTGCACGGGAGGATCGCCGATAGGACGCTGGAGTAACTCTCAATTTGGCTTACTTGGGCTGCACGTTAGGAGTCTTCTCGGGGTGTCCGGACACTGTATGGGCCTTCTTCGGGGCGTACCCAGGACATCTCAGTGGCTCCTATCTGCTTGTGGGCCAGTTTGGATGCCCTCCTCGTCCTCCACATGGATCCTTCATCACGTCGATCTTCGTGAGGAGCCGTCTCGGGGTGTCTGGATCCTCTTGGGGCCTCCTTCGGGTCATGCTCAGGACATCTCGGTGGTTTCTGTCGGTTGGGGGGGCCATTTGGGGTGTCCTGCGCCTCCTCCCCTCGATCCTTCATCCCGTCGGTCTTCGATCGTCAGTCGTCGACGCTCCCCACGAGACAAGCATCCAAGGCTTCTTGGGGGCCGTTTGGGAGCCTCTTTTCGTCCTCCTGGGGATCTCGGGGCCCTCTCGGGCCGTCTTGGGTGCCTCTTGGGCCGTCTTGGGCGCCTCTGGGACCATGTTGTGGCCGTCTCGGGGCCATCTTGGTCCGTTGTTGGGCGCTCTCGGGGCTGTCTTGGGTGTCTCTTGGGCCGTCTCAGGCGCCTCTGGAGCCGTCCCGGGGCCGTCTCGGGCCGTTCGGGGCCGTCCCGGGGAAGGACTCCAGGCTTCAGGAGCAGGCCTCCAGGTAAAGTACCGAAAGAGATAGGGATGGGAGGCGCAGGTTGAAGCAAGGAAGGAGCGGAAGACTTCAGAAAATATGACTTTATGAGCCCGGCGGTGGTTCATTACCTTCGGCCCCAGGGCCCGCGTTCTGGGTTCCGGACGGATGCCTACCCCAGGGAAGGGGTCCAGACTTCAAAAGCAGGCCTCCGGGCAGTGTAGGGGAAGAGATTGGGATGGGAGGCGCTGGTGAAAGAGAGTAGAGGGGATAGAAATAAAGAGCAAAAGACTGCGCCTCGACGTGGAAAGCGCTGTGCACCAGGCGTGGAGACGCTGCGATGGCGAGCGCCCCACGCCATCATCACGTCGTGAGTCGCGACGTCCGCCATCCCCGCTGCCTCTTCGGGTGGGCCTGCGATCAGTCTCTCGCCACTCGTCCGCCCCCCTGTACTAGAGGCCATGTTGTGGCCACTTGCCTCTTGGGGGCTGTTTGGAGGCCTCTGTTCGGCCTCCTGGGGGTCTCTTGGGGCTGCCTGGGGCCGTCTTGGGTGCCTCTTGGGTCGACTCTCGTCCGCCCGCTCGTTTCGAACCAATACTGAAGCCACATACCTCTTGGGGGCCATTTGGGGGCCTTCTGTCGGCCTCATGGGGTCTCTTGGGGCCCTCTTGGGCCGTCTTGGGTGCCTTTTGGGCCGTCTTGGGGCCATGTGGGGGCGTCTTAGGCGCCTCTGGGGCCGTCTTGGGCCGCCTTGGGCCATGATTGGCTGCTGTTGGAGCTGTCTTGGGTGCGTCTTGGGCCGTCTCGGGCGCATCTGGAGCCGTCCCGATGCCGTCTGGGACCGTTTGGGGGTCCTCCTCGGGACCTCTGGGCGCGTCTTGGGGTGAGCTGGGGGGCCTGTATAGCCGTCTTGGACGCTACGAGGACGAAAAAACAAGACATAGTGACAACGAGCGTTTCCAGAAGGGAATGAGACGTTTTCAGCCTCTTGGGGCTCTCCTGGAGGCCCTCTTGGGCCGTCTTGGGAGCCTCCTGGCATGCCTTGGGGGCCCCTGGGGCTGTCTTAAGGCTCCCAAGGGTGTTATGGGGATGTCTTGCCTCCTGGCATGCCTTGGGGGCCCCTGGGGCTGCCTTGAGGCTCCCAAGGGTGTTATGGGGATGTCTTGGCGCCCCCTCGAGCCTCTCGGAGCCGTCCCGAAGCCCTCTGAAGCAGTTTCGGGGGCATCTGGATCCCCCCCTGAGCCGTTTTGGGGTCGGAACAGACGGTCAAGACAGAGACCCTTCTCGCTCTCAAAGGTCGCTCGCACAGGAGAGATGACGTTGGGCTCCAGCTTCGCCTCCCACATCTCGCTCAGCAGCGCCAGAGCCCGCTGCCACTGCTCGCCCTTCCCGCACGCGCTGACTCCAGCGCTATAGCTGACTAGGGCTGACCCGTGGACTCCGTCCACGACATCTTTCTGGAATGGTTCTCGGAGGAACGGCGCAGATTGTACCGAAAATCTACAAACACGGCGGCGGCTCGGGCGGCGGCAGCGAGACCGCGCCTTCGTGTCCGAGCTCTTGCAGCGCTCCAGCAGCTTGGCCCAGCGCACTGCTCGTTCACCCCCCTCCTATTGAGGACAGTTTCGAAGTCTCTCGGGGATGTGCGTCGAAGTCGAAGCCCATCTGAGGCGTCTCAGGAGCGCTTGGGGAAGGGCTCGGGAGACCATCGGGGAAAGCCACCGAAAGCGCCGGGGAGGCTCGCAAGGATCTACAGGGAGGGCCCAAGAGAGCTTCAAGAAAATTCGGAATTCTGTAAAATATTTAGAGAAACCGCTGTTGGGTAGGCCATCACCTCCGGGCGCGCCTTGATGGTGCGTTCCAGTCGCATCACCGCCAACGGGAGGGTTTGTTCGCCATGTCCCATTCTGTTCGCCCAGAGGGTCTGTGGAGGCCTTCGGGCGAACAGAACGGGACAGGGCAAGGAATGGGGAAGACTTGTCCGAATCTCCTGGGCCCCCCAGGTGCTCGTCCGAAGAATGCGGAGAGGTCCCAGGGTCATATCAATTGGCTGCTGTCCCAGGGGTCCGGTCTGCTTGGCCCGAAGAGTTTGCCAAGGCCCCTGGGGGAACAGAATGGCACAGCATATCGGGCAAAGGGGGGCGGTAGCTGGCCTGTCAGACCCGGCGTTCGTCTTCTGCCCAAGCGGCGCGGGGCCCACGGGCCCCAGGGTTGGCGGCCCGCTGGGTTTCCTCTTGTTCGCCCACAGGGTTGGAGGAGGCCTCCAGGCGAACAGAATGGGGCAGGACAATGAATGTGGGAGACTTGTCGCAAGCTCCCAGCCCCCCCAAGTGTGCGCCCGAAGGGTGTGGGGCCGCGTTGGCTCCCTCAAAGGGCCGTCTTGGAGCCGTCCAGGCCCGTCTTGAGGGCGCCGTTTGCCGTGATGGGGCCGTCTTGGTTCGTCGTGGGCCCCTCATGGGCGCGTCCGTAGGCCGTCCTGGGCCCATCGAGGTCCTCGTGGGGCTGTCTTGGAGCCGTCTGGGACCGTGAGGGGGCCGCCTTGGAGTCGTCTTGGGCCCCTCCTGTGCGCCTCCTTGGGCCGTCCTGGGCCCAGCAGGGGCCGTGTTGGCACCCTCTTGGGGCTGTCTTGGAGCCGTCTTGAGCCGTCGCAGCGCGCCTTGGGTTGTGCTGGGTCCGTCTTGGCCCGTCTTGGGGCCTTCCTGGGCGTTTCCTCGGACCCTCCTGGGACTTTCTGGGGCCTCTTGGTGCATCGGACCGCCGAAACGGCGGGAAACGCAAAGGGTGTCACAGTAAACAATGGAAAATTAACGATTTTTGCCAGCTGGGGCTCTCTTGCCATCTTGGCCCGTCTTGAGGCCCCGACCGGGCGCGTCCTTGGGCCGTCCTGGGCGCACCCTCCTGGGACCGTCTTGGAATCGTCTTGGGCCGTCTTGAGCGCGCCTTGGGCCGTCCTGGGCCCGTCTGGGGCCGTGTTGGCACCCTCGCGGCGAGGAAGCTCGGAGGCGGGCTCGAGGCCTCTTTGGCGCCATTTAGGAAGCTGTTGGGGCCTCTGTTGGGGCGTCGTTTTGGGCTCCTTGGGAGCTTCCTGGGGCCTATTCGGGGGATTCTTGGCGGCCCCTTGGGGCCTCTTGGGGGCCTGTTTGGGCCTCCTGGCGCCCTCTTGGGGCGGAAGGCTCGGAGTTTCGGTCCGTGGTCCTTCTCTTGGCCCCCTCTTGGGCCTGTCTTCGGGCCCTCGTGGGCCATCTTGAGCGTCTCTTGGGTCGTCTTGGGGCCCTCTTGGGCTGTCTTGGGGCGCTCTTAGAAACCTCTTGGGCCGTTCTGGGGCGCTCTTGGAGGCCTCTTGGGCCGTCTTCGAGCGTCGGAAATCGGAAAAGGCGAGAAGGCCAAAATCCTTCCAAAACCGTCGTAAAGCGGATGATTTTGAGGCCCAAAACCGTCCAAAACCTCCTGAGGCGGTCCCCTCGTCCGCCCCCCTCGCTTCGAAGCAGTTTTTAAGCCCGTGGCACCTCTTGGGGACCTCTTTTGGGCTCCTGGGGGCCTCTTGGGCCTCTCTGGGCTCGTCTATCGCGCCCCTTGGGCTGTCTTGGGGCCCCCTAGGGCCTTCTTGGGCGGTCCTCGGGCCGTCTTGGAGCCATCTTGGGCCGCTCTTCGGGCCATCTTGGGGTCCCGTTGGCCTGTCTTGGGCGCCTCTGGGGCCGTCCGGGGGCCGCCTTGGACCGTCTTGGGGCCCTCTTGGACCGTCTTGGGGTCCTCTTGGGGACCTCGTCGACCGTCTTGGAGCGGTCTTGGATGCCTCTGGGGGGTTTCGGAGCGTCGGGAAGCCGAAAAAGCGAGGAAGCAAAAAACCTCGGGGAAACTAATGAAAATCAGCGACGATTTTGGCCTCTC